CAATAGAGCACATACACTATGTACACACAAGAAAAAAAAAAAAAAACAAACAACACCCATACCTGGAGGAATACCTAACAACATTAGTCTGGGTTCAGAATACCAAGACGCCAGGAACATTGTAACAGATACTGTAAGAGCTGAGTCGGGGAAGCACCCCACCAGGAGGAAGTTACACTTCCACCCCCAGAGGTACCATATAGTACCTAAGCCGCATATGGCACATAAGTTACTCATGTTATGGTTAATGTCCCAGTTACGGTTACCCCACCCACTACCTCCCATTTTGACCGGGAATCCTCCCGAAAGGCGAGAAAGGTGTAGCCCAATACTACCCGCAAACAGGGGACAGTCGCTCGACTTGAAGCTGCTGGGGCGAGCGAAACCCCCACCCTGGTATTTGCCCTCAATATCGGCCCTCTATAAACGAACGGGGTATAAACCCCCATGAAAATCTACTCCCTAAATGTGAGAGGGTTGAACCTACCGGTCAAGAGACACCAACTGTATAGGGAACTAAAACACGCTGACGCAGATGTAATATGTCTCCAGGAGACGCACTATAGAACAGATAACTTTATTCCCCCATCAGAGGTCGACTACCCCCATCAATACCATGCGACATCCCCCTCTAAATCCAAGGGGACCTCCATCCTAATATCTAAACGAGTAGCATTCACCCTGATCTCCATTGAACTAGATGCAAATGGGAGATACGCTATACTAAAATGCACTATAAATAACATGACATACACAATCACAAATATCTATTCACCCAACGTACACCAGAGCAGGTTCCTACAACATCTGCTACAAAAACTAGCTCCAGTTCAAGAGGGTATATCTATAATTTGTGGAGACTTCAACCATGTATGGGATCCCAAACTAGATTCCAACATCTCACAACATAGTCCTAGATATAAAGCACTCCGCAGACACTGCAGAAAGATACAAAACCTCCTTTCGCTCCACCACTACTTTGACTCATGGAGAATATCCCACACAACGGAGCGAGTATATACCCACTTCTCCCACGTTCACAACACATATTCAAGGATAGACGGGATTTTAGTGCATGGGCAGGGACTCAACCAAATAGCCGACAGCGACATTGGCCAAATCACGTGGTCGGACCATGCACCAGTATCGCTGTCGGTCAAAGACCAATACGATTACAAACATCGTAGCCCATGGAGACTGAATGCATCACTGTTACATAACAACACATTTAAAAAAGACGTAGAATCCGCCCTACATGACTATTTCGCAGAGAACACCACGCCGGGAATGGCCAGGGGCACAATATGGGCAGCTCACAAGGCGGTAGTTAGAGGGGTTTTTATTAAAAGAGCGGCATATCTACACAAACAGTCCTCAACACAACTCAACCAATGGAGACGAGACCTATACCAACTGAACGCTAGAAACCAGGTTTCACCATCCAATGACCTTAAATCACAAATATCTACCATTATGGCAAAAATACACCAGAGAGCCCTAGAGCAGACGGGGTACGTGCTCCAAAGATTGAAAATGCGACAATACACACAGGGGAATAAGGCTAGCAGATTTCTAGCCAGGCGATTACAGGAAAGGAGGGCTAACCAAAAAATCGCCTTCCTTATGTCTCCTAAGGGGGAAAAGAAAATGATCCCCACAGACATCTGCAACGAATTTGCAGACTACTACGCCTCCCTATACAACATACATAAAAACAATGAGACTTATCAGCCCACACAGGAACATATTAATGCATATTTGTCCACGTTAAACCTCCCAACGATCACGCCCCAACAAGCAGAGGAGCTCACGAAACCAATATCAGAAGAAGAAATCCATTCGGTAATAAGAAACCTACCAAACGGCAAGGCCCCAGGCCCGGATGGGCTAGACAATAGTTATTACAAGACTTTTACATGCATACTAGCACCCCAATTAGTACACATGTTTACGGAGGCGACTAATACACAAACTCTCCCTACAGACTCACTACTAGCCCATATTATAACACTACAAAAGCCGGGGAAATCGCCTACTGCCCCCCAGAACTTTAGACCCATCTCTTTGCTGAATACAGATGCGAAAATATTCGCCAAACTGTATGCAATGAGACTGAGCAACATCCTCCCAGAACTTGTCCACTCAGACCAGGTGGGATTTGTCTTGGGAAGGCAGGGAGCGGACAACACACGCAAAGTCTTAAATATACTACATAGTCTTCCTAGACTGCACAAAGGGGGGGGACTTGTAGTATCCCTAGACGCTGAGAAGGCCTTTGACCGCCTGCACTGGCTGTTCTTGGACGCGGTCATGGCAAAGTTCGAGATCCCAAGCGCCTTCAGATCAGCGGTAAAAGCCCTATATAGCGCACCAAAAGCCCAGGTGCTGAACGCGGGATTCCTGTCCAAACCCCTAGTTATTTCAAACGGTACGAGACAGGGGTGCCCGCTATCCCCCCTGCTTTACGTTCTGGCTCTGGAGCCTTTAGCTGCAAAAATTAGACAACACAACTCCATACATGGAGTGCACATAGGTAGGAAGGAATACAAAACCAATCTCTTTGCAGACGATGTGCTCCTGACTCTGACCCAACCATTGATATCAATGCCACACTTATTACAGGTGATCAAAGAATACGGTGACAATTCGTATTACAAACTAAACGTAACTAAGACCCAGGCACTGGGGATAGGGATACCCAATGACATAATGCAGGTACTCCGGGGTAAATTCGAACTGGACTGGAGGACAGACTATGTTACCTTTCTGGGAATTAAATTAACTAAGACACTAGGTGGCCTGTTCAAGGCTAACTATGAGCCCCTGCAAAAGGAGCTAGGGGCAAGTATGGCCTCATGGACGGACAAGTACTTATCTTGGCCGGGTAGGATGGCGGCCTTTAAGATGTCCCTGCTCCCCAAACTCCAATACTTATTTAGAACGTTACAAATTTACTTGCCATCCTCATACCTAAATAAATTACAAACGATGCTCACCAAATTTGTATGGGCACAGAAAAGAGTGAGAGTAGCGACAAAATTCTTAAACAGACCCATACAACAAGGGGGCCTCGCGCTACCCAACATCAAATCCTACTACCAGGCAACATTGCTGGCCTCATTGGTGGGCATACACACAGGCAACAACACCCCCCAATGGTTAGAAATAGAAGGCCACTGGTTACAGGGGGGAGACCTGCGGAAAATAGTGTGGGTACCAAACAAGTTGGGCCCGCCTCAACCCCACATACTACCCACCACAACGACATTACTGAAAGCCTGGGACAAAACACAGGGGGTAACAATGTCGATGGGACCATGGTCACCGGCAACCCCTTTGGCCAGCTTACACGCAGCCAACAACACGATTGACCACAAGGAATGGACGAAAAGAGGGTGCACACATGTAAGAGACCTATTGACCGCACACAACATGTTACCATTCCCCAATCTACAAGAATCATTTAACCTACCCCCCAGACTGATATTCTCGTACCTGCAAATCAAATCAATGCTCAGCGCCCAAACACCTGTGGAGAAAGGAGGGAACGCACCTTCACTTACAGAGTTAGAGAGGAGGTGTCTGACCAAATCAAGGGTCAAAGGAACAATATCCATGTGTTATTCGCTCCTAAACGTGAACGCCCCAGTACACCGAGATAGATTTAGCCAGGCCTGGCATGAAGATTTAAGGAAACAATTTGATAAAACCCAATGGGCAAAGGCAGTAACAGCACACAAAGGGAAATCACTGTGTACATCGCACCTTGAACTTATGAGGAAAGTATATTATCGATGGTATATGGTGCCAACCAGACTGGCAAAAATATATCCAGGAATATCCGCACAGTGCTGGAGATGCGGGAGGGCGGAGGGCACAATGTATCATGTGTGGTGGACATGCGAGGTGATTAGACCCTACTGGGAGATGGTAGGGAATGTTATCAAAGAGGCTGTAGACAAAAGCATCATAATTACCCCAGAACTATGCCTACTTTTTATGGAACTAGACAGGTACAGAGGTAAGGAAGCAATCCTAATCTTCCATATAATAATAGGGGCCCTGACACTCATAGCGAGGGAATGGAAAAATACAGAGGCACCGTCGAAAGGAGCCCTGATGAAACAGATTTCTAACAACTTACAATATGAAACAATAGCGAGGAAAGCCTATAGCAATAGCACAAGATTTGAGGAAGCTAAACTTAAATGGGAAACCATTAATGCTCCCAAGAGTCACGAGGACGACGAGTAGTCCCAACACTAAGAGAATACACATACACGGAGTTCTACTAATATAGCAAAAATACACTCCTAGGGGTAAGGGAAGGTCGTCAAGAGACACAGTCCAGAGGGGAACTAAACAGACAGACAGGTGAACAAATACATAAATAAAAGATAAGAGCATTGAATGCAAAATACAGTAATAAAAGAATGGCAAGCACCGGTAGGGGGGCATTACACTGAACTCGCTAACCCCCCCCCCCATCTCCCTTCCCCGCCTCCTCACCAGTTATGCAGACCCCCCCTCCCGCATAGGGAGGTTTAGGAAGAGTTACGGAAGGCTCACTGGGATAACTTTAGGAGAAGCCATGAGCAGCGAGATCGGCAATAACGGCAGGTAGATCTGCCCAGCTGATCAAGGTTCATGGGGGAACCCCCTCAAGGACAAGGAGAGAGTAGTCCCCAGGATCCATCGTCAGAGGGCGAGGTTAGCAGAACAACAGCACACAAGGTATCTGTACAAAATGACACCCTGTGACAACGAAGAATTGTATGATATCAATGTAAGATGTTACCCCATGCCTCCCCTTCTCTCTTCTGTATCCCACTTCTATACGTTATGACCCAACTTGAAAATAAAAATTGTCAAATTGAAAAAAAAGAAAGTCATTGCCGTAATTCCAATTTGGCCTCGGAGGCCGTGGTTTCCCCTATTGGCCATGATGAGCCAGGAACAACCTTGGCCTCTTCCAGTGATGGAGGATCTGCTATCGCAGGGCCCTGTATTCCATCCTCATCCGGAATGCCTCAAACTTGGGGTATGGGTCTTGAGAAAGAAAGACTCCAATTACTAGGTCTCGCGGAGGCGGTGATCATTACCCTTCTGCTCTCCAGGAAGGCTTCTACTTCATGCTACCATAGGATCTGGGATGTGTTCCAAACTTGGGCATCGTCTCATAATGTGGACTTTCGGCATCCTAGCAATACTGAAGTTTTGGAGTTTCTGCAAGAGGGCCTGGACAAGGGCCTTAGCCTCAGCACCTTGAAGGTTCAGTCTTCGGCACTTTCAGCTTTGTGCAACATCTCATGGGCTTCGGATCTTTTGATTTCCAGGTTCTTCAAAACGGCCTTCAGGTTGAGGCCTCCTTCCAGATCTACTACCCCTCCTTGGGACCTTCCTATGGTGCTCAATTATCTTACTGAGGATCTGTTTGTTCCTCTTGAAAGTTTGGATGCTACTCTCCTGACGTATAAAACTTTGTTTTTGGTGGCAATTACTTCCGCAAGAAGGATTTCAGAAATTAAGGCATTTTCTACATCTTCTTCTTGTTTACGATTCTACCAAGATAGGGTGTGTCTGAAACCAAAACCAGAGTTTCTTCCTAAGGTAGTTTCTCAGTTTCACCTCTCTCAAGAAGTGGTTCTTCCATCATTTTACCCCAACCCCTCTTCTCAGGAGGAGGTTAGATGGCAACGTTTGGATGTCATGAACTGCTTGTCTGCATATCTTAAACGTTCTGAGTCTTTCCGTAAAACAGACCAACTCTTCGTTTTGCCGTTGGGAGCAAGGAGAGGTGAGGCGGCTTCTTTATCTACGTTGAAACGTTGGATTTCTCTGATAATTAAGAAGGCGTATATCTCTAAAGGTATATCACCACCTCGGGAGATAAGAACTCATTCTACTAGAGCATTTTCAACTTCATGGGCTAGCTGGGCAGAGGTTCCATACGATGATATTTGCAGAGCAGCCACCTGGTCTTCTCCGATGACATTCATGAAGCACTACAAACTTGATGTGGAGTCTCCTTCCACCTCCTTTGGACAGAGTGTCCTGTCTACGGTTTCTTTATCCAGTTGATATTAAACTTTTCTTTGCTGCATGTGATTCAGTTTGGTGTAATTTCTTGGATTATTATTCCCACCCTATTTTTCTGTGAAGCTTGGGTATTACCCATAAGTGATGCTGCCATGATTAGCCAGGAATAGAGAAAATTTATGACAAACTTACCGTAATTTTCTTTTCCTGGCTATTTCTCATGGCAGCATCAGGGTTCCCGCCCATTCTTTATTTCAGCTTTATAATTGGACTGAGGTGTAGGGGGAGGAGGGACTCCTTATACCTATCAGTCTGATTAATTAATCTAATTAATTCCTGTCCTGTGACTGCTAAGGGAGGAGCTACCCATAAGTGATGCTGCCATGAGAAATAGCCAGGAAAAGAAAATTACGGTAAGTTTGTCATAAATTTTCTCTAATTTAGACCAGAATGCTTTTTACTCCATATATTCCCTGCACCGCTTCCTGAAAAAGTAGTATATTTGATCATTCATTGCCTAAAAGCAACAAAAATTAACATCGCCCACAGATGGAAACAACTACAAGCACCAACATTATCAGAGGTCCTGAGGAGATTTGATTCCTTTAGTCTTTGCGAGAAAATGGCAAGCTGACTAAAGGGCAGTGAGGACTTATATAAGTGAAGATGGCATCAGTGGCTAGAGTTAAGAGATCAGTACATGTTAATTATAAATACTGACACACAGACTATAAAAAAGGCAGGAAACTTTCCTAGACAGGTAATAGCACAAAACAGCATAAGAGTAGATTATACTTAATAATGTCACCCTTTTTTTTCCCCTTTAGATAAGAAGGTGGACCGCAATGTAGTTAGCAGTGATAAATGAGATCGTATGTGACGCATGTATGTAAATGCATTTGTACGATGTAAAATTGCTACGGTATGTCTCCCTGACTTATCTTCTTTTCTGTACCCCATTTGTTTGATCTGTTTGATTGCAATTCGGTCATAACTATATATGGCTGTTGTTATGAATATAACATAAAAAAGATAAAATAAAAAATGTTTAAAAAGTTAAAATGTTGTTATAAGTTTGATTGAAATAGCTTTTGATTTTAGTTAATATGCTGCAAACACAACAAATTACAATTTTCAGTTCTTTACAACCTATAAAGTGCGTAATAATTTAGAACAGTGCATTGTAAGCTTTTTATGTTTAAAAAAAAAAATACTGTTATCATTAGGAGGTTTGTACAATAAAATTTGAATTGTATTCTTAATAGTTGATAATGAGAATTATGCTGACTGTTATTTACATCAACTATTTAGGTAAATGAGAAAAATATAATTTGCATAATAATTTGGAACAGGGTGTATATATATATATATATATATATATATATATATATATATATATATATATTTGTGCTCGGAATTTAATATGTAATGGATAGTATCTGAAAAGGAAAAGTTGGTTCTGGTGTGCCGAAACCAACGTATGAGTGGGCCTGTAAATAAAAGAGGGCCCACCAAGGATAATTGTAATGCTAACTGGGTGTAGGTGGGTGGGGACAATCAACTGTATCGGCAGAGGTGAGTAGGGGCTGGGAGTTTAAGTAGGGAACTTACTCCTCCCACAAATTCAGGCCTAATGGCCTTTCTACTTGTGCTCGGAATTTAATACGTAATGGATAGTATCTGTAAGGACAAAGTTGGTTGTGGTGTGCCGAAACCAACGTACGAGTGGGCCTGTAAATAAAAGAGGGCAAAAGAGAAGTTCGAGAAAATACACACTTTATTGCCTTTTTACATAACCAAGTTCCTGAAAGCTTGACGAAGCTCTTTTTCTGGTCGTGGAATATAAGTATGGTATATGGAGGATTTCCATCACCCCAGTCTCTTGATGAAGTGGACCGGTGTATTAGTGCTGGAGGCTGAAGAGGTGGCTCCTATGCGAAAGGAGTGCCCGGAGAATGAAGTCGGATTGAAACCCAGTTTAGATAATAGTGTTCTGACGTGAGACGTGAATTTAGCAGTGGTAAGCGGGTGCCCTTGTATTGATAAGAGCGGAGAGTCTGGTAAGTGCGCGTGAAGGGTTGACCATAGGTGGTCTAGCGCCTTGACCGGACACCAGGCATTATCAGTAGGGAAGAGAGGAATTACAGTGGGATGTAGTGAATGGTTGGTTTTAGTTGACGGGATCGAAAGTAGATAGTGATCCTCCACCTTTGTGAGGTGCGATGTTTTTCGGCTGTGCGTGATATCCCCTTGACGAACAACGGTGAACTCTCTAGGTCTGAGAAAACCATAGAAAGCAAGATAGATAGCCGCTTTGATCACCAGGTTTGTGTCGGGATCAAACGGGGATTCGTCAAGGAGATTGCTAAGTGATCTGAAGATAGGCCCATCTATAGGTAGTCTTGTGATAGTGAGACGAGCTGAAACTTTAACATACCTTTCAATACCTTTTTAATGGGATATGATGACAAGAAGGGGGTGTTAGGAAAATTTGTGAGGCTATGGTGCTGCATCCTGGTGAGGTAAAGTTTTATGGTGTTGTGGGAAAGTTTAAGATGTAAGTGGCAGAAAGAGGCAAAAGCCACCATGGTTTGTATAGAAAGGTCGCCTTGTAAACCGAATTCTGCAGTGAATTTGTTAAATATGGTAAGTGCCCTATTATAGGAGAAACTGTGATGTCCTGGATGGCTGGTGGTGAGCTGTAGGGAGTGCCTGAGAGAATACCTGGATTTGAGAGCGAGAAAGAGTGTCAGCTGCAGTGTTGTGGATACCCGGAATGTGAAAACAAACTAAGTGAAACTGACCGGTTGCTGCTAGCCAGGTCAGCTTGTGAATCAGCCGCATGATGGTCAGGGATGATGAGCGCCCCTTGTTAATGATGTCGCAAAATGTTGAGTTGTCAGAGTAGCATTTTACTGCCTTGCCGGACCAGAGATGACCCCAGGTGTGTGCGGCCGCCACAATGGGATAGATTTCAAGTAGGGCTGAGGTCTCCCTGAATCCTGGCAAGGCATCCGTCTCAGCGGGCCAGTGACCCCTAAACCAGTGGTTCCCAAAGATTGCTGCGAAACCAGTGTTGGCTGCAGCACCTGTGTGAATGATGGGTGAGGAAGTGGAAAGAGGGAGGATAAACATGGAGATACCGTTCCACTCTGCCAAAAACTTCCCCCACATAGCTAAGTCAGCCTTAGGGTTTGAATAGGGTTGGTGTATAGTTAGAAAAACCTATTCTTTATATTGGTAACATGAGAAGTCTATAAGAATTAATAAAATGAATATTAAAACGTGGTTACTATTTAATTAGGTGTAGGAAAAAAGAACCGTATCTTATAAATAATTGTTGAGATTTTAAATGTTTTAGATATATCAAACCGGCCAACACAGTTTAAGAAAAAGACTGGTAGTTAGACCGGATTGAATAACCAATACTGACATATACGTATCAGCAGTTAACTGACCAAACAGGGAATATACGTTTACATTTAAAATTTGTGTAAATGAAATTCATGAATTTACTTAGCATGGTTTAAAATAATTAACCATAATAGGGATTTGTACCGTGCATTCATTTAAACCGTACGAATAGATCAGTACTGAATGAGAAAATAGCGAGGGGTGAATAGAATTATCATCTAACGTTAAGGATGCACGAACGGGTAAGTACGAGGTTCGTGCGTATGACCGAACAGTAACACAGAAATACAACAATTAATATGAGCGTTTATACTTATACAGAGTTCGGCAGTTTTTTCGTACGAATACGTGAACGATGCGTAAGTGTAACGGGCGTTCGTCCGTTTTGGCGCGAACGCTGAATACGTTAACCGAGCATGGATATATGTTTAAAGAAGATAGAGGGAGCCTACCCCTACGTTTTTAGGCCCGAACGGAGGGAAATAGCCGAACGCTATTTCCCTCACTTAGCTTACGTGAGCGTGCCGGTCTCGTGACCGGAAGCCAGGTACCACGACCGGGTGGAAAACCGAGCTGGGGCCTCAGAACGGACGGAGGATTGCTCTGGACCTCGTGCTGCAGGTGACTGAAGCTGTTCTGGCGGGAAGCTCGGACCGGAAGTGCTGGTTGCTATGGGGATAGACAGTCAGCTGAACGACAGAGGTGAGTAGGGGCTGGGAGTTTAAGTAGGGGACTTACTCCTCCCACAAATTCAGGCCTAATGGCCTTTC